TTTCTCTTTTTTTTTTTTTTTTTCTGCCTCCCCTTCTTTTTCTGTCTGATAAGATTTAATCTAGTGACCATTAACCAACCACACTCCACTGCAGATGTCTAGTTGTAGAACAAGTCTTCTAAGCTAACATAACTTGTTTATGCTCTGAGTGGGTGGTGGGATTCTTCCAAATTTTCATTTGAATTGATAAACATGGCATTCCATGATGCTAAATAATTAATCTGAACTGAATAAATTCTGAACCCTAATTGGGCAGCCCAACTTACCTGGTTTGAAAGCTCTCAGAGTTTTTAAAGTGGCACAGTCAAGTGTTCTTTTTCTCTGTTCTTTTTGGGTTGGGATGATATTTTGGGCAGGCTTTGTTTGTGTTGTGTTGTGTTGTCAAGTTTTTCACTTTAAGTTTCAGTCAGCTGGTAAATAATGATTCCACCATATATATGTGCAAAGAGCACAACCATATATTATAGCGTACTATTCCCAACTTAGCAAAAGTGTGGCAACTTGTTCTGGAAATACTATTTCCCCTTTTTAGCAAATAGAAATCAACTCTTGGTGAAAAATGGGCTTCAATTGAACATGGAGACAGTTGAGCAGGATTTATCTGAAAGGTGAACCGTGTCGGACTTTAATAAATAAATAAAAAAGAAATCTACTATAATGTAATGAATTTCACAAGAATATATATTATTATAACATACAATGGACAAACCATTTCTTTGACATGAAGAAGGCCGTAATATTAGATTAAATCTTGGTTATAGCTCGGGTTAGATTATAATAATCTTATGTGCGCTCCATCACGTGGCTGACATAAATACCAAGTCCTCTCTATAATGTATAAATGATCTTAATAGTCTGATTGCCGGTTAAAATAGCCAAAAATTATATGCATTGTAGGTCTTTATGTGGGGCACCATATATGAAGAAAGTAAAATGAAATGGTGAAATGAGCCCTTAAAGTGGACGGTCTAAAATCCTATCCTATGCCTGCACTTTTGACCAATTGGATTCGAAATATACTTATGTGTGTATAAATTATTAACCCTAAGTCTGCTTTATGCTTTGGTTCCAAATAAAGGCAGTTCCTGATTGTACTCCCATAATCCCATTAGTATTCGGTGGGAATGTTTTTGATTAAGACTATGGAGTATAAAATAATTAGAGGCTTAGGATCTGCTCACAGATAATAAGTTTGTTCTTTGTAGCTAGCTATCATCAGCAGCATCTTTGTCGACAAACCTTGTATTTATGTACCCAAATCTTTGACAGTTCCTAATACTCTACACCAAATGCTCTGTGGCTTTAGTCAGAGCATGTTTGTTATCATAGTGCTGAGTCATGTTAGGCAGTGAAAGCCACACTTGCAAGGAACCATCATGGTTGGCAGCTGGGTTTAGGATAGGAGTAATGTTTTTTTTTTTTTAAATACCAAATTTATTGACAATACCTCTCTCCTAGGAGTGCGATCCATTTAAATACAAAGTACTGTTAGATTCCGACTTTCTTATGGGTTTTATATGATTTCATGTTACCATGAATCTCATGTCATGTGAGAGAGTTGAGATAAAAGTTAGTGTGTCTAGTATTATTATTTATCGAAGATTATTGAGGAATTCGAACATATGATCTCTCTCAACATTGATAAACAAATGGGTCATAAGTTCCACTTGTTAGAGATACATACATATTCTAAATAAGTATGGTAACTATAGTTTCATTGTTAGTAGAAAAAAAAAAGGGAAAAAAAAAAGAGAGAGAGTAGATAGGCCCATAGCTATAGTTTCTTACACTTAAATTTCCATGGTGGAAATTTGGGCTGTGACCCATAACTTACCAAGCCTCATGTTCACTACAATAACTCCCTACAAAATCCAATCCCCTGTTGCCCTGTTTCACTCTTCGCTACTTTATATCCCTCACAAGAGGATTAGATAGAAGAACTCAGAAAGAAACAGAAAACAAGAGCCACAAGAAAGAAAATGACACCATGTTGTTGCTCCTTCACTTCTTCAACCTCTATCTCCAAATTCATCTCAGAGAGACCACACCTCTCCATGCTTGAAAAACAATGTACCAATATGAAAGACCTCCAAAAGATCCATGCCCACCTCATCAAAACTGGCCTTGTCAGTGACACTGTTGCCGCGAGCAGGGTCTTGGCCTTCTGTGCCTCCCCAGCTGGAAACATCAACTATGCTTACATGGTTTTCAGAAACATCCAGAATCCAAACCTCTTCATTTGGAACACCATCATCAGAGGCTTCTCTGAAAGCCCAATCCCAGAAATTGCAATCTCTCTTTTCATTGATATGTTGGTCACTTCAGCTGTTGAGCCACATAGATTGACTTACCCTTCAGTCTTTAAGGCTTATGCTCAACTTGGTCTAGCCCAAGATGGAGCTCAGCTTCATGGAAGAATTCTAAAATTGGGTCTTGAAAGTGATAAGTTTATAAGAAACACCATCATACACATGTATGCAAATTGTGGTTTTTTGAGTGAAGCAAGAAGACTGTTTGATGAAGACTTGGAATGTGACACTGTTGCATGGAATTCTATGATAATGGGGCTTTCCAAATGGGGTGAAGTCAGTGAAGCTAAAAGGCTGTTTGATAAGTTTTCTTTGAGGAACCCAGTTTCTTGGAATTCTATGATTAGTGGGTTTGTTAGGAATGGGAAGTATACAGAGGCATTGGAACTTTTTAGTGAAATGCAGAAGGAGAGGGTTAAGCCTAGTGAGTTTACAATGGTGAGCCTGTTGAATGCTTCGGCTCAGTTAGGAGCAATTGGACAAGGGGAGTGGATTCATGAATATATAAAGAAAAATGGTGTTGAAATGAATGCCATTGTTATCACAGCAATTATAAACATGTACTGCAAGTGTGGAAGCATCAAAAAAGCTATTCGTGTGTTTGAGGCAGCCCCCAGAAAAGGGTTGTCCTGTTGGAACTCCACCATCATGGGGCTAGCCATTAATGGTTGTGAGGAAGAAGCAATTGAGCTATTCTCAAGGCTTGAATCTTCGAATTTTGTGCCTGATGGTGTCAGTTTTCTTGGTGTCCTAACCGCGTGCAACCACTCAGGAATGGTGGATAAAGCAAGGGATTATTTCTCAATAATGAGAGGGACATATAAGATTGAACCTTCAATAAAACACTACAGTTGCATGGTTGATGTGTTAGGCCGAGCTGGACTTCTTGAAGAAGCAGAGGAGCTTATACATAGTATGCCAATGAAAGCAGATGCCATTATTTGGGGGTCTTTGCTCTCATCTTGTAGGAAGCATAGAAACATTGAGATGGCTAAAAGGGCAGCAAATCGTGTGATTGAATTGGATCCAAGTGACAGCTGCGGTTATGTGCTTATGTCAAATGTTTATGCTGCCTCTAGTCAATTTCAGGAAGCAATGAAGGAAAGGCTTTCCATGAAGCAGCAGAAGATAGAGAAAGAACCGGGATGTAGTTTGATCGAAGTGGATGGGGAGGTTCATGAGTTTATAGCTGGTGGAAGGCTCCATCACAAAGCCCCAGAGATTTATTCTTTGTTGGATGAGTTGGGATTTATGTTACCAGAAATGGCATAAGTTATGATAATTTTGTTTCCAATGACCCATGATACATCCCTGCACAAACTTTAGTTCTTCTCTTTTTCTGTTTTGTTGAAGATCTTTCAAAAACTTATAGGTCATTTACATACCAACCCTTTTCAGTGGGAAAGCATGCAAGTGATTTTCTGTGGTTTTGAACAGAGGTGAAGTAGCCCAACTGTATTTTATATAGGTGCTCTTGCACTTGTTACATGATTATATACTTAAAGATACATTAACAGAAAAACAAGCAGAAACAAAGGCATTTGAAATTGTTTCAGTAAAGCTTAATGCTACAGTGAAGGCAATAACAGTACATCTGAAGAACATTAATGCCACAGATCAATAGAGGCATGCATTGCTGGAACCATGTTAAGTTTTTGACATGGTCCGGCCTGATGCCCAGGAGTACACCTCAGGGGGCACATTGCCATTAGTGAGCAGGTTCGGTGGAAGTCCATATAAATCCGAACTATCCAGGTGGTGGTGACGGCCATTTTGGTATTGTTGGTTTTGCAAAGCTGCAGCAACTTCATCTTCATCCAGTGGCAGACGATCAAAAGTAGCGTTCATGAACGATGCAGCCATGATCACAACAGGCCCTGAAGCAATGAGTGCACCAACCACACTCCCACCCACTACCTGCCCCTGAGCCCCTGCTAGATAGATGGTCAGGCCTGTGATCCCAGGAGGGGCTGGAGGGGGCAAGATTGACCCGAGCAACGAGAGAATTTCAAACCGGCCATGGAGGGTCACAATTGCTCCACAGGAAGCTGGTTGTCGCAATGTGACATTGGTCACACAGCCACTTCCACTCAGTATGCAAATGCCCCTTTGCTTCCTCCTTGCAAAGTTGGTTAGGCTTTCACTCACATCACAGCCTGAACTTACTTCCATAGCATGAGCACGAAGTGCATTAGCGCTGTCACGGGTGACTATGATGGGCGGCTTTGGCTTGTTTTTGGAACCAGCCGGTCTGCCACGTGGCCTCCGGATACTCTCCCCCTCAGCTGCTGCAGAAATTGGTGGCACTGCCTTTGGTAACTTGGGTGCCATAAGTATTGCATCAATGCCAGGCCTGTGGTGGCTGTTACTTTTATCAGCGTCTTGGCTGCGATCAATTGCAGTTTTGGACACAACGGAAGGCACTGGTAGATCTGCACCTCCTGCCATTAGTGTTGGAGCTCACACTGTTTTGCAATCACCAGAGATTCACCATGAGCTGTGTTCAGAAAGTGGGTTTAAATAGCAACATTTCTACCAATAGTTTTATCAAGCAAACCAGAAAGAATGATCCAGAATTAGGAGATGTTTAAGTGATACTCCACCAACCTCAAAATTTATCACTAGTTTTATCAAAACCAACATCATCACTCCTCTCACTGGCTACCTCCCAACTGACTTTTTCTTCATGTCAATTGCCTTCCCCAACAGTAACATATACCCATGTTACATGTATCATATACTTAAATCATTCACAAACCAGACAACTCAGTTACTTTAAGCTTAAGCTACCAACCCCAACTCTTTTATTTTAGCTGATAAACCATGTTAATTAAGGTCATTTAATGCGCATTTCCTGCCTTAAAAATATCTATTTAGAGAAAACGGTAAGGCAAAGAATTCCACTAAACCTTTAACTATCGAATGAGAACACTTTCACTAGGGCAATCAAAATTTGCAAGCTATCCCATTGAAAATAAAAAACATGCCCCAACACAGTTTCGTAAGATACAACATCGAGGCATAAGGCACAAAACAATAACTTCTCAGTTTAGAGTATGTACAATTGGACAGCCAAACAGAACCACCATAGATTCTGAGCTATAGTAACACCCTAATTTGGCAACTCCGAACTCACTACAAGTCCCATGGGAAAAAAAAGTAAAAAATGGGAAGGGGAAAAATTTTCATTAGTAGGTCCGCTGCCAAATCTGGTGCAACTGCTGAGGTGACAGGTCTTGAATCCCAGCTAAGCTTAAATCATTGACACTTTGCCGGTGATGTTCTTGTGTTATGCCCATTTGGGACGGATAGAAATCGGGGTATCCTGGTGATCCATAATGCTGCAACTGTGAGGGCATCTGTCCAGCCTGCCCTTGTCGATATCCTGCATTCTGTTGATTCTGACGAAGTAAGTTGTCATATACGCTGTCTGGAACGGAAGACAATGTTCTTGAACTCTGCAAAACAACAGCAAAAAGGAACTTTAAAGTAGATAACTAACAATCAAACATAAAAATCTATGACCAAGCCAGTGGAGATCAAATCAGAAAGTCATGGTAAACTACTGCTCTGAAGCACACAACAAACAACAAGCTGCACAAACAAAAATTGAGCAAAAATACTTCTATGCTTCAAGAAAGGAAGTTCTCCATATGCATAGGAAGCCAATAATCACATTTTATATGCCAACTATTTGTTCCATAATAGTGGCATGCCATCCCACAAAATATATAACAAATCCTTAAACAGCACCACCATTATAAACACACAATACACGTCAGATAAAAGATGGGATGAACTCCATTTACTGATTTTACGGTAAACACAAACAGAAAACTTCTACAAAATATAGTATCAAAATGCTCATCTCTACCTGATGAAGAGGGGTTAAATGGCTTCCATCCTTGTACCGAGCGCGCAAAGCATCATCATAGTCACTCATGCTGATGGGAGCAGCAGATGCATTTTGCAAGAAACTCCCATGAACGTTATTAGAGGCCCCAAAATTTCCATGACCACCAACAGCAGCAGCAGATGGTGGCAATCTGCTTACTGAGGCTCCACTTCTATACTGTGGAAAGTTGTAATCCATGCCAGCCACGGACTGCTGGAATGCACTACCACCTAGATATGCTTGCTGCAAAGTTGATGGTGCAGGGGAGTAGCTCTGAGTCATGGAAGGGTAGCCAATTATGTTCGCTAACTGTTCATAAGAAAGGGCAGGTTGCGAGTATGAACGGGATGTTAGGTGCTGAGGAAGTACAGAAGATGCCTCAGACAAAGGTATGGAGCCTGGTCTCAGAGCCTGTATGATTGTAATGCCATGGATATCAACAAGCATTTTATTCAATTTAGTCAATTTGAAAAGAAATGTGTGTGTGTGTGTGTGTATTGAATGTGGGCCTCAAATTCATGATCAGGGGTTTAATCCACTGCAAGAGACAGATAACATGAGTGTGATGCACAAAAAGGTCACCCATCCCTTACCTCTGACACGGAAATGGTTGGATTGTTAATGGATGAAATTGCACTGCTGTATCTTGAAGGCACTGATGGTGTCACCAACAACTGTGAGTATGACTCCAATAGATCACTTCGCATAGAATCTGAATATGCCTGTGGAAATTTTTTTGAAAGGCAAAAAGATAGAACAGAGAGAGAGAGAGAGAGAATACAAGGAAATCAGACCACATGCATAATCAAAATATTCAAAGACTGAAGAAAATCAGATGGCAACTTTGGGAGACACCAATGAAGAAAGCAAGAGAGAGATCCAATACTAGATGATGCGATGAGATGGATAGAGAACAGATCTATGATTACTAAAAACACCAAAATTTCCCTTTCTTAAGAACCTACAAAGATTCAACTGCAGATTCAAGAATGGGCAAATCAGCAGTTAGAAGAACTAGGGATTACTACACCAACAGATTGTAGATGTGCATAATTTCAAATATGATTTTCTTTCATGTGTACACACATGAAAATTCTTAGGAAAACCCCAGTACCATGACAAGTATAATAATATAAGTTGTTCCAATGCACACAAACAACTACTGATCAAATTCAGCCAACAAATGAGAACCCTTTCCTTAATTCAGCAGCAAACAAATATTTGTGAAAACCACAGAATACAGAAAGTTAAGAAATATAACTCTACCATATCATTTTGACGAGGAGGAATATTTCTGAATTTGGGATCTGCTCTAGCAAAAGACGATCCAGAACTTGCTCTTTGGATGTTCTCCGAATCAAAATCACGTAGAGATGAGGCGGAGATGTCTTTATGTCCAAGGGTAGGTTCAAGGATATCATGTTTTATCAGCTCTGGCTGAGGCAAGTCATAACGTTTAGCATCTATGGTTGTCCTTCCTGTATCATATATGGATCCAAGAAGTTCGTCATGATTGTACCCTGAATTGAAAGACTCATGCCTTGTATCCAAGTGCCCGGCTGATGAAACATTTATTCCTGCTGAGAATCCTCCCAAGTCATTTTTCAAGGAATTAGATGGCGACCTGGAAAATGCAGAACTAGGGCCCGATCTGAAGGTGCCAAAACTCAAATGTGAACAATCAGCTGCCAACTCTTGCAAATTATTTGGAAGGACTACTGCACAATTATCCGTAGGCTCCTCCTTTCCTAAATTTAGTTGTTGCATGTTCATAGTAGCTGATGATACAGCCACAGCGACATCATTGGAGACAGAACGATTTGGACATGACACATTTGAACCAAAGCCAGTTCCTGGAATTACACAAACACAATGAACACAATAAAGACAATAAGAAAAGGTAACATAAACTTTGGGTGGTAAAGATAATAAACTTTAAGAGTAAAAACATAACCGTTTGTTTTCTTTCAAAAATTTAACCATACGACATGAAGGTAAATTTGCAAGCCTTCTCCACCAAAACTATCACACACCTTCATCAAAGACATTTCAGTTTCACAAACCAAATCCAAACCTGACCACCACCCTTTCAAGTTTCAAATCCCAGACTCTGTGCACTAGGGTAGAAGATCACATCAATAACTACACAAATCTAGTCCAAAAAAGGGATTTAGGAAGATAAAAAAGTATCAGGTCTTCTATTATAAAAAGAAAATTATTTCGCGAAACAGTCAATTGGCTACACAAGCAACTTCCTCTGTAAATTAACGATTTAAATCAAGGAAGGTTGAAGGAAAAAGTGCCAGGAACAATTTTTATCATGCAGAAAAATCAAATATATAAGTAAGTAAACAAATAAACTTATGCTGATACAGGTCGAAAAAATCTTCAGAACATAAAAGAAACAAAAAGTGAAATTATAAAGGCAACAAAGGAAGTTAAGACAAAACGAGACACGAAACTGTGCTTCACTCAGCCAGAGATTTTAGACCTAACAAATCAAACAAGCATGGATTCAAATCATGCTACCAACCCAAAACTTCTGGCATTAATATATGCATTGTTCACTTAATAGCCATCCAAGCGCAAGAAGCATCATGGTTTTTGTAAATGTTATCCATCACAATACAAACAGTATCAGTAGAAGTAAATTACATTGTTAGAATTGTGTTTCATGCCAGTACTGATCTGGATTCTAGAATCATGAATGTCATTAGCAATGATCTCTTACTTCAAACGTTGACAAAAGAAAAAAAAAATCATCCCAAATTCATATTTAAAACAAAAATAATTACCTTCCCCATTCTCATATGCAGACCTATGAGAATCATAGGAACTAGAATTAGAAGACAAATCATCAACACAATAAGATCTTCCACTAGAAGCATCCACCATCTTCTGTCTGCTGGAAGCAAAAGCATAAGCATTGTGGTCTGAACTAAGATTTTGACTACTATAATTCCCCTCTGACACTTGGACTTTATGAGACTGGCAGTCCCTTGGCATGTTGGAGTCATTGATATAGAGATTAGATTGATTAGCATGTATCTCAACATTTGCACTTGAAACTGATGACCTACTTGCAGCCGTTGACTGCTCAATCACGGGCCATTCATCATGGAAAGCATTCTGTCCGGAAGTATCACCAGGTTTATGGATCATCTCTGATACATGAGAAGGATTCTGAGAGTGCATACATCGGTGCATCTCTGGTTCCAAAAATGCAGAAGTTTGGGAAGATTCCACACGGCAATTACATAAATTTGTTGCAAATGCATCCGGATGGGAAGATGTATCAGATGAAATATGTGAGCCTTTGCTGGGTGGCCTACCCATCTTAACAATTTCAGCCATTGAAAGATGTCCTGAGCTGGTACCAAAAGAAGTGGAATGATTTCCCGGAGAAGGTTGCACAGATGCAGAGGTTGCACCATCGCCTGACCCTATTGAAGTACTTAGAGAATCACTGCAGCAGATATTAAAAGATGACTTATCAAATATACAGCAGAGCATCTGGCTCATCTTACCAGTAATTTCTAGAAGAAAACAGAAGAAGCATAGACTAGGAATTTCATTTAAGAGTTTACCTGTGAGATGAAGGTTGCTGGCTCATAGTTCCTCCCGTACAAGGGGAAGCTGAAGGAGCAACAAACCCATCCTGACCCTTGCATGCAGCTTGAACGAGCTCTAACAGGAGGAACACAAAAGGTTCACAAATTAAAAACATGCAATATTCAAATGCACAACCATGCAACTCATACAAGTACGAGACAGTGACATTAGACACTGAGTTTAATATACCACTGGAA